CACCCCTCCCCTCCCCCACGCTGTCCTGGCCTCACGTCCCAAGATTCCAGCCCACCCCTCTATTTATCTCTGAGCTCCCTTCCCCCTACTCAGTTTTGAAGAAGGCACCTGACTCGAAATATCAACTTTTCACATTGTGTTGTCTCTGACTGACTTATAACCCCACTGCGAAGCATCTTCCGAGGATGCCCACCTTGAAGAAGCTGACCTTCCCTCCAACTCAGGAAAGACCTCAGTGGATCTTTCTCCCACTGGTAATCTCTGTCCTGAAACTCTTAACCTGCATCCACCTATCACTAGCCCACCTAACTTCTCCTAGCCCCACCCTTCCTCCCACTATTTATTTCCATGCTCCTTTCCCTTTCTAATATATGTCAGCAACGACAAAGAGCAATGTAAAGACAAGGGAAACATTCAGAACCAAGGCCTGAAGACTATGGATGGAATATCTGAATTCTAATCCTGCAAGGAGCTGGGTGAGTGCAATGTCATCCCCAAGCTAGGGAGACCAACAGTGCCAGGATAAGTTACTATTTGGAATTGGGTGCATCAGCATAAGGTAAAATGTTTAATACAAGTTTCACGTTTAAATATCATCTTGTTGAGTTTCAAACTTGTGTGACTCAACAGATGAAGTAGATTAAATTAGGATTTAAGATTTCTAAAACATAACTTTCTATATTCAATCTACCTTGTAAAACATTGATAATGTGTGCCATATAATGTTTCATTTTGAAGCTGGTAAACTGTACATTGTGCATTCTTGAAATGTCATCTCATCTGTACCATATGTGGTTTACTCACATCTGAATTCATCCTGGATCTAACTATTCATTTGCCAGAGGCAGTAGATGTGTGACTATTGAGCAATTCATCCCACATGAATAATGAAAGAACAAAATCAATAGGAACTCCTAATGAGATATTTGTGAATTCTACTACTGCTAGACTTTTAGGGGAAAAAAAACGTTTCTGACTAAATATACATGTCCTCAGCAACTGAGTGAAATAACTCTCTCTTGGAATGTGTAATCATAATTTATGGAAATACTTTCTAATTCCAAGCTTTGATTTTTTTTTTCCCTTTAAATTGTAATATTCCCTTCATTGTAAGCCTAGGAATCATTTGGCTTTATCCTTCAGATTACCACTTGGAAATTAATCCTCTTTGTTTTTGCTGTGACTTGCACATTTCTACCATCAGTGGCAGCAAGCAAATCACATGAAATGCAAAGGCAACTGGAGAAACAATTAAGGACTCTACTTTCAAAGTGAGTAAATGGGTGAAAAGGAAGACCAGGAACAGAATTTATCGAACAACCCCAAGAAAGAAACCAATGAACAACATTCCACTTCAAATGACTTTTAACAACCCAAGTGAACCCAACATAAATTAGACAAATTAACAAGCAGATTTGCAGACAGAAAAACAAAAGAACAGCAGATGCTGGAAACCAGAAACAAAACCAGAAATGCTGGGAAAACTGGCAGTTCTGAAGAAAGATCACTGGACCCAAAATGTTAATTCTGCTTTCTCTGAACTGATGCTGCCAGATTTTCTGTATCTTAGAAATTATGTACCAAATGATAGATACAATAAAATTGAATCTCGTGGATTTACCTTGTATGGTGCTAATTTTAGTCTCAAAGTGAGCTGCATCATTGTGGATAGTATCAAGCCAGATTTACAAAGATGTTGCTGGAACTGGAGGGCTTGAACTATGATGAGAGACTGAATAGGCTGGGGTTTTCTCCCTGGAGCATCGGAGACTGAGGGGTGACCTTATAGATGTTTATGAAATCATGAGGGGCATGGATAGGGTGAATAGCATAGGTCTTTTCCCCAAGGTAGGGGAGTCAAAGACAGGAGGGCCTAGGTTTAAGGACCTGAGAAGTAACTTTTTCACACAAAGGATAGTGTGTGTCTAGAACGAGCTGCCAGAGGAAGTGGTGGAGGCTGGTACAATTGCAACATTTAAAAGGCATCTGGATGAGTAAATGAATAGGAAGGCTTTCGAGGGATGTGGGCCAAATGCTGGCAAATGGGTCTAGGTCAGATTGAGATGTCTGGTCAGTGGATGGATTAGTTGGAGCAAAGAGTCTGTTTCCGTGCCGTACGACTATATGACTATGTTGTTGGAGTGGCTTTCATCCATTCAAGTGGGGAGTATTCAACTGCACTTTGGATTTATGCCTTCTAGATGGTGGACAGGCTTTAGGGAGTCAAGGAGGTGAGTAATTCTCTGCACAATTTCTAGCATCTGACCTGCTCTTGTAACCACTTTGTTTATGCAGTGAGTTTGGTTGAGTTTCTGGTCAATGGTAACACCCCAGGGTGTTGACAGAGGGGTTTCAGTGATGGTAACATCATTGAATGTCAAGGTGCAATGGTTAGATCGTCTCTTTTATTGAAGATGATCATTGCCTGGCATTTGTGTGGTGCAGATGTTATTGCCACTTGTCAGTCCAAGCCTTGATATTGCCCAGGTCTTGTTGCTTTTGAACGTGGACTGCTTCAGTATCCGAGGAGTCGCGAATGGTGCTGAATATTGTGTAACCATTGGTTAACATCCCCACCTCTGACCTTACGATGGAGGGAAGGTCATTGATGAAGCAGTTGAAGATGGTTGGGCCTAGGCCACCACCCTGAGGAACTCTTGCGGAGATGTCCTGAAGCTGAGATGAGTGACTTCCAACAACAACTACCATTTTCCTACGTGCTAGGTATGACTCTAACCAGTGGATAGTTTTCCCCCGATACCCATTGATTCCAGTTTTGCCAGAGCTCCTTGTTTCCACACTCAGTCAAATGTGACCTTTATGTCACTGTCATCTCTCTCTTCCAGAATCCAGCTCTTTTGTACATGTTTGAATCAAGGCTGTAATGAGGTCAGGAGCTGAGTGGCCCTGTGGGGCATCACTGAGCAGGTTATTGCTCAATAGGAGCTGCTTGATAGCTTTGATGACATCTTCTGTTACTTTATGGATGATTGAGAGTAGACTGATGGGGTGGTAATTGGCTGGTTTGGATTTTGTGTCTAGGACATGTCTGTATACATGATGATAAATGTTTTTCAACACACACACACTTGTGAGCTTAATTTCAGTTAACCATTCTCCTTTGAACTCAAACCCTACTGATTACTAGTGCCCCATATTTATGCAAACAATTCATCACTAATTAATCCTTAATTAATACTAACATGACCTATTCCCTCATTCCATCAGGTCTCATGCATTCCCTTAAATAATATTAGATGATAACAATACCTGGGTAATTTTCCATATTGTCTGGCTGATGCTAATGTTGTAGCTGTATTGGAACAGCTTGCAAAGGCGTATGACAAGTTTTGGAGAAATATACTTTCATTTTAGAGAAATTGAACATAGAAGTAAAGTTGCTAATGTTTCAGATACGCAGGGCATTGGTGAGACTACAATGAATATATTGTGTTTTTTGGTCTCCTGATTTAAAGATGGTTGTAAATGGATTGGCAGTGATTCAGAAGAGTTATACCAAATTGATATCCAGAATGAATAGTTTGTCTTATGAGGATAGGTAGGACTTCCTCTTGTGGTTGAATCTTGAACTCGGGAGGCACTGTTTTAAAATTAATCATCTCTCTTTGAAAACAGATGAGAAGTTTTTTTTCCAAGAGTTGTGTGGCTTTAGAACTTTATACCTCTGAGTGTAATAAAAGCAGAGTTATTGAATTTTTAAGAGAGTAGAAAATAATATTTTTTGGCAAAGAAATAAAAGGTTATTGGGGATAGATGCGAATATGAAATTTGATAAACAAACGGAGGAGGATGATCTTATTGAAAGGCAGATTAGGCTTGGGGGACAGAATATTTTACTTCAGCTTCTATTTTAAATGTTTGTATGCTCCTAGCATGCCCTTCTGAACTCTTCATAAATGACAGGACAACAGATCTAACATAGCTGGCCTTTGAAGCTGAGCTATTAGTGGTTCTTGTGGACTTGCTCCCAAGGAATATGATGCTGTAGTTATTCAGGTTTTGACTTTCTGCATCCAATTTGTATAGAGACCTGAAAGCAACGTAGAGATTACTGAAAGAGAAACATTGATGCTGTTTTATACAGACAACATGTGTTGTCACCACTTGTTGGTAAAAGTGAGTGGAATTTAATATGGGCAGTTCTTGTAACACAATGGTAATGTTGCTGTCTCTGAGCCAGGAGGCTGGGATTCAAGTTCCACTTATTTCAGAGGTGCATAACAACATCTATAAAACTGGTTAATTAGAAAATATCTATATCACACTATCACTCAACCAAGTTTTTTCAGTGGATGCTCCAGTCAAGTATTTCAGACTATCAATCACTAACTGTTACAAACTATTGGAAATCATGTACTGATGCTCGTTTTGTGGCATTGTGTGTTAATAAGATAAGGCTGAAGCATTCGCAGCAATCTTCAGCCAGAAGAGCCGATTGGATGATCCATTTCTGCATTCGCCAAAGGTCCCCAGCATCATGATACAAGTCTTCAGCCAATTCAATTCACTCCATGTAATAGCAAGAAACAGTTGGAAGCAATGGATAGTGGAAAGGTTGTGGGTCCTGACAGCATTTCAGCAATACTACTGAAGACTTGTGCTCTGGAACTTGCCACTCCCCTAGCCAGGCTCTTCAAGTACTGTTACAAGACTGTCACATAGATGGCAATGTGGAAAATTGTCCAAGTATGTCCTGAACACACAAAAAGCAGGACAAATCCAACCCAGCCAATTACCACCCCATCAGCCTACTCTACATTAATAAAGTGATGAAAGGTGTCGTCAACAGTGCTATCAAGCAGCACCTGCTCAGCAAAAATTGCTCATTGTTGCTCAGTTTGGGTTCCGCCTTCGTTCAAAAGTGGGCAAGTGAGCTGAATTCCAGAGATGAAGTGAGAGTGACAGCCTTTGACTTTAAGGCCACATTCGACTGAGTGTGACATCAAGGAGCCCTAATAAAATAAGTTAGTGGGTATCGGGGAAAACCTCTCTGCTGGTTGGAGTCATAAATTTAAATCTGAAATAGACACATTTTTATAAGTAACAGTATCAGGGAATATGGATCCCAAAGTACACATATGGAGTTAGGTTACAGATCAGCCATGATCTTACTGAATGATGGAGCTGGCTCAAGAGGTTGAATGGCCTACTCCTGTACCTAATTCATACCTGCTACATCAGAAGATGGTTGTGGTTGTTGGGAGTCAGGCTTCTTTGTTCCAGGACATCTCTGCAGGAGTTTCTCAGTGTAATGTCCTATGCTCAACCATCTTCAGCTGTAGTTATAGAGTCATACACCATGGAAACAGGCCCTTTGGCCAACTCATCCATGCTGACCAGGTTTCCTAAACTGAACAAGGCCCATTTGTTTGTATTTTGGCCCATCTTCCTCTAAACCTTTCGCATCCGTGTCCCTGTCCAAATATGTTTTAAATGTTGCAAAGTACTCGCCTCTATCACTTCCTCTGGCAGTTTGTTCCATATACACACCACCCTCTGTGTGTAAAAGTTGCTCCTTGGGACCCTTTTAAATCTTATCCCTCTCACCTTAAACCTGTGCACTCTAGTTTTGGACTCTCCTTCATCATAAACTGAGGAGTGGGGACATTCCCTGATTGATTTGCAATGTTCAGCACCATCATGACTCCTCAGGCACGAAAACAGTCCATGTACAAATGCAACAAGATGTCAATAATGTTAAGGCTTGGGCTAACAAGTGACAAGTAACATTGCCTGGCATTTGTGTGGTGTTAATGTCCATCCCCAATAAGAGACCAATCTAACCACAATCCCTCTGTGTTCATTGGAGTTACCATCACTGAATCCCCCACTATCAACATCCTGGGGATTACCATTGACCAGAAACTCCACTGAACTCATCACATACGTTGGCTACAAGAGTAAGTCAGAGGCTAGGAACACTCAGTGAGGAACTGACCTTCTGATTCCCAAAGCCTGTCCACCATCTACAACGCACAAGTCAGGACTGTGATGGAATACTCCCCACATGCCTGGATGGGTGCAGCTCCAACCACACCAAGAAGCTTGACACCATACAGGACAAAACAACCTGCTTGATTAGCTCCACATGCACAAACATCCATTCCCTCCAACACCAGTACTCAGTAGCAGCAGTGCTATCTACAAGATGCAATGCAGAAATTCACTAAAGATCCTTAGACAGCACCTGCTGAACCCACAAGCACTTCCATCTAAATGACAAAGGTAGCAGATACCTTGTAATACCAACACCTGCAATTTCCCCTCCAAGCCACTCATCATCCTGACTTTGAAACGTTCCACCATTCCTTCACTGTCGCTGGGTCAAAATCCTGGAATTGTCCACAAAGATATTGTGAGTCAACTTACAGCACAAATAGTACAGTTGCACAAGAAGGTGACTCATTACCACCTTCTCGAGGGCAATCAGGGACAGGCAAAAAATAGTGGCCAGCCAGTGACACCCACATCCTAATAATGAATAAAAAACAATTCCTTCCTAACAAGATTCATCATTGTCTGTAACACTGGCCTACATCTATAAGCCTATTATCAATTAAAATTTAAATGCAAATCTTAATTTTCAAGACTTTCC